GGGAGGGGCAGGGGAAAGGAAAGAAGGGAAAGGAAAAATGATGAGAAATAGAAATAAAGTCTTTGTAAATAGGGAAGGGTGGAGGGGGTGAAAGGAGGGCTAGGAATGGGGAAAAAATAAGAACCAAGATGCATTATGTAAAGGTACAGTTCCCAATGAGAAATATAATTGTGTTGTGTACCTACAATGTACCAATGAGAGAATTTAAGAAAAATAAATAAATAAATAAATTGATATAAGCCCATTGGAAGGCAAATTGACAATATAAGTCAAGAAGCACAAAAATATTCATTTGCCTTCACTCTTCTCCTGTGGGTTTCTTTTAAAGAAATAATCACAAAAGGAAAAAGGCTTTTTCAGCTGGGCATGGTGGCACACACCTGTAATCCCAGCACTGGGGAGGCTGAGGCAGGAGGTTTGCCATGAGTTTGAGGTCAGCCTGGGCTGCATAGTGAGTTCAAGGCCAGCCTAAATTACATAGTAAGACTGTGTCTCAAAAACAAAACAAAGGAAGTATTAAGAGGAAACCAAACATGAACAAAAACATTTTATAAAGTAATATATACTAAACAGGGTACTCTGTGAGCAGTTATCCGCATCCTGTTTTTATGGGCTAACAGAATGTGGCCTACAAACCATGCCCGGCCTCTGTGGGCACCACATGTGTGGGCTTCAGCGCCTTCCTAGGGAAAAGCGGTGTGCACCATGGACAAAGTTCCTGTTGGGAAGGGAGGGTTGGGCTGGGGACACTGTCCCAAGCCTGGGGTGTTCTTCTCCACTCCTGTGTTTGAAGAACGTGAATTTAGCCTTCATCTGAAGGTGTACAGCTCTGAGAGGCTGACATCCTAACCTGAACCCTAACTCTCCACCCACTAAGAGACCAGTGGATAAAACCAGAACCTCAGCTCACTGTTGTAACACCTCTGAGAGGTGTCAGATCCGCTGGGCAGATACAACTGCATTCACCGGCTGCTGGTGGCTGTCGAGAGTTTGAGGGGGGCTGTTCAGCCCACAGAAGGCAGCATGATGTTGGGAACCAGCGAGCTTACGATTTGACAGATGAGGGCACGGATTCCCCGTGCTGGAGGCAGAGCTGCTAGGAATCCCAGAAGCCACCCGCAGCTGCTTCTGCAGAAACACGTTCAGGTCCCCCAGGTTCTCCTCACCGAGTCAGGGCAGAACGGATGCATGTGCCCCGGATGGACGGTCACTCTCATTGTCAGTGACACTGCCTTTCTCTTCTTTCTCCAGTGCTCCATCGAGTGTGGGAGTGGGACCCAGCAGCGAGAGGTGATTTGTGTTAGGAAGGACGCAGACACCTTTGAGGTACTGGACCCCTACGAGTGCGCTTTCCTGGAGAGACCCCCCAGCCAGCAGTCCTGCCACCTCAAGCCCTGTGGGGCCAAGTGGTTTAGCACAGAATGGAGCATGGTGAGTCACCTTAACACAGGCTTCTCTGTTGACCTTCCTTAAATGCCTCTTGGCCGGATTCCCATAGCGACCTACTCTGTCACTGCTGGAACAAGCCTGCTCAGTCAGGGGAAACCGAGGCTTAGATGACCTTGGCGTCTAAACTGGAGAGGTCACAAAACAGTGACTCCCAAGCTTCTCTGAGCATCTTGTCTGCAAAGACCAACTCTAGGCCCATCCTGGCCAAGAAACTTGCATTTTAACAAGCAGCATGCAGGTGTCCTTGGCCTGCGTTTTGAGAAAGATTGCTGCAGAGGGGTGAAGCTGGAAGGGATTTAAGGATGCTGTTAAAAGCGCCACACTAGCCAGTAAATTTAGAGATTAACTCTTATCTAAAAAATATTTCCTAGTTTTGACTGCTAAAGAAGCCTAGAAACAGTGACAAACCCAGCAGCAAAGGGCACTCCTGTCATCTGGAATGTGGCTTTGAGAATCAATTTGCCACTTCCAGGACCTGGGGATTCTGAGAGGAATGGCAGATTCTAGATCTGGGAAATCTTTGCACACACAGCAGTAAGGAAGTTCTGAAAGACAGTAGCGTTCATGTCCAAAGGATTTAAGAGGCAACTCTCAGAGTCTCCTGCTAGCCATTGATGAGACAGCTTGAGCATGAGTAAAAATGATAACCACAGTAGACTGAACGAGACACATTATACATGTTTAACCCCATCCATTTGCAATAATTTTTTAAAAACTAATAGGCACCATTACAACATATTAGAGAACCAACTCACTATTCTAAAAAGTAGAATGCAAAGGGAAAGAAGCAAGAATTTACTCAGACTTTTTCTAATTAAAAAAAAAAACTACCACTGGATAACCAAAAAGTAAATATGGGGTAGGAAAAATAGGATTCTTAAAAAGAAAAAATGAGGGGCCAGGGATTTAGCTCAGTGGTTTTGCTGCCTGCTGCGCAAGCACAAAGACCCAAGTTCGATCCCCGGTACCAAAAAAAAAAAAAGAAAAAATGGTAGGATTAGAAAATCACCATTTTTCAGCTCTAGATGAACTAATGGATCTGGATGCTTCATCAGTAGCAGCTGATGTCCCCACAATAGGGACAAGCACACAGTCCTGTGAATCAGACCTACCCCTGTGAAGGCCTCTTATAGATCCAACTTCCAATTAACAGAAATACAATGACACCTTGGTTCACAAACTTAATTTGTTCCATGATTCTGAAGAAGATAGCTGCATCCATGTGGGGAAGATGGCCACAGTCTTGTTTGTCATCCAATGCAGAGTTCACGAATGGAAGCAAAATTTTGCCAGATGCTTCTGTTTATGAACCAAATTATTTGCAGACAGAAATGTTTGTGCACCAAGGTGTTACTGTGCAAAGAATAGAGGCACATGTTAAAACACACCATGGGGTTGCTGTCAGCACAAACTCTAGGAAACTCTGCAGGACCCATGGCTCAGTTTCTCTGATCAAATAAAAATAACAACAGTAGTTATAGTTATGATTGTAACCATAGTTAGGGTAAGAGGCAGTACAGAGGGAAAAGACAAGATAGAGGAAATTTGTGGACTAAACAAGGCAGAAAAGACAATCAGTTGCAATGTGCAGACCTAATATGGATCCTGATTTTACACAACAAAAAAAATCATTTTGAAAATCTGTGAGTTTCATGAGAAAAGTGGAAGTAAGCCCACTGAATGTATATCTGAAGATAATAAGAAACCATTGTTAATTCTTAGATGTTACAGTGATATTGTGGTGACTTTTAAGGGTCCTTGTCTTGTAGAGGTATAAACTAAAATTTACGGAAGAACTGTTATGGTTTTTACATCTGCTTCAAAACAGAATGAGGAGTAGAGCGGGTAGGGGGTGAGTGGGCACACGTGGCACAAGTTTCTAGTTGTTGATGCTGGCTGACAGGTGCCTGGGAGTTTGATAGGCTACTCTACCTCCTTTTTGGAGACATTGGATATCTCCCAGCATCCTCTCTGTTGGTGTAAAGAGCTGATGGGCTGCTGGTAACCTGACTTCCCCCTTTGTTGCTACACAGTGCTCCAAGAGCTGCCAGGGCGGCTTCCGGGTCCGGGAAGTGCGGTGTCTGGCAGATGACATGACCCTAAGTAATCTCTGTGACCCTCAGTTGAAACCAGAAGAGAGAGAATCCTGCAACCCTCAGGACTGCGTCCCTGAAATTGGTGAGTAGAGATTCCTGACTTGGAGAAAAGATTTGGCTTTTTTAAGTGCTGTTGAGCTCTCCGCTGTAAAAATGCCAACTCCATCTGGGTCTCTCTGTGACCTTGTTCACAGTCACAGTATTCAGAAGGTCAAAGCAGTTTTGAAAATCTAAGTTTCATAGTTTAAGATGAGTGTTCACAACACAGATGGCTATCTAAGCTGCCTAACAAATGACAAGCTTCAGGACAATTGATTAAAATGATAACACATATAAAGATTTGGTTCTGTCATCATTCTTAAGGTCAAAGCAGTAAAATGTGGGGCTGAGGATGTAGCTCAGTGGTAGAGTACTTGCCTATTATGCGTAAGGCCCTGGGTTCAGTCCCCAACTCCACAAAAAAAAAAAAAAGTAGTAAAATTTCACCTTAATTGTCCATGAGAGGATACACTGAGATACCTGCAGCTGGGTGGTTGAGGAGACAGGAAAGGAGAGTCAGGAACAGTAGAGACAGTGATAGTCGAAGCAGATGTCCTCAGTGCATAACACAGACCCAGGGTCCAGAGGACACAGCGACTTCACTCAAGGAGGGCCAGTGACAGCAGAGGGCTGAGCTGCATGATGGATAGAGTCCTGCAAGGAACAGCAGCGCTGATTCAGAGGACCCTGCCTGCCACCTTGAAACAAAAACCAGTTCCCTGGAGGGTGTCATTGGTGAGAGTTGACAGTTAAGCCGAAGGTGTGAGATGCATGAACTGGACAAAGAAAGGCCCTGCTAGGATAGTGAGGACACAGTACAGTCATAATGGATGCCTAAGTCCCACCTAGATCTACCCAGAATATTCCACTGGGCTGGGTCAGGACTGCTCCAGAATAGATGTGCTGGGCCCCTTTGTCAGAACTCTTCACACCTCCACAGTGATAGCACAGGAAGCACTGATGTCTCAGTAGACTGTCAGGCAGTGGATCCCTCCTGAGGTTTCGGTGCACTGACCCAATGTCCTTTCTATCCCAGCAAAGTTGTGCTACTTACAGAATGGATGCTCTGTCATCAAGAGCTTCCTGTGTGCCAGTGATGGCCAATGAGTAAAAGTTATGGGGGTGACTATTCCCAGAAAGAGCAAAAAAAGTGCATTCCATGGTGTATTAGTTGGCTTTCCATCATTGTGACCAAATAGCTGGGAAGAACAGCTTCAAGGAGAAAAGATTTACAGTAGTACCTCGGTTCATTATTCCTTTTGTTTGTGAACAATTCGGTTCACAAACAGAAGTGTTTGGCAAAACTTTTTGTTTGTGAACTCTGCATCGGGTGATAAACATGACCATGACCATCTTTTCCCCATGAACACGAATGTGGCCATGACTTTCAGAATCATGGAATGAATTAAGTTTGTGAACCGAGATACCACTGTATTTGGGCTCAGAATTTCAGAGGTTTTGGTTTAGTTGTGGGTCTGGGGTGAGGTAGAACATCACAGTGTAACATCATAGCAGGGCATCATGGCAGAACATCATGGCAGAGGAAAACTGCCCATCATATGGCAGCCAGGAAGCAGAGTAAGAGAGAAAGAGCCAGAGCCAGAAAGGAAGGAGCCAGGAACAAGATATAGTTCCCAAGTTCAAGTCCCTACCATTCACTTCCTTCAACTAGGCCCCATCTCCAGTTTCTGTCACCTCCCAGTAATGCCATGAAATCATGCTGTCATCCATGGATTAATCTGTGGACAAAGTTAAAGTCCTGGTGGTCCTGTCACTGCTCTAGACACCCACTCTGAGCTTTGCTGCAACCCATAAGTCTTTTGGGAGACATTTTATATTTACACCATAATGCTCAGGAAGAAAATTAACAAGCAGTGTCTAAAACTGGCAATAGAAAAATAAACAAAAAGTAAAGATAGGAAAAGTGTACTATGGAACATAAAAGGAAACATGAGTGGATAAAATAACTAACACTTCTTGGCATAAAAACTCAATATTTTAAAGATAGTAAAAGAATTGCCTGAGCAGAGCTTGCCTTGTGTATTGGTCAGCTCTTTGTTACTATAGCAGAACACCTGAGGCAAGCTAATTTTGTAAATAAAAGAGGTTTATTTAGCTCACAGGCATCATGCTTTGGGGATTAAATGCCTGTATGAGTCAGGGGACAAACCATGTTCGATTCACAGCCATTTCCCATGTATGCAGGCATATGATGAAGCTACAGAAAAGAAAACTGTATGTTACTGACACAGACAGAGAAAGGCATACCAGTGTTACATAGAGAATTCTGAAACAGACTTCTTTACACAAGAGAAATTAACCATGATAAAGGTTGAACATGAAGTGAGGAGAGACTTCCATTGCATTGAGACAATCAAAGATCTGTTTAAAAAATTAGCTCTTACATTATACCACATACAAATAAACACACATGCCTAATGGATTAAAGATCCTAACAGAAAACATGCTGTAAAAAGGTAAGGAAAAGGTATACATATCTTTGACTTGGTTAAAGCCTTCATAAGCGAGACTCCAAACCCAGAGGCTTCATTGTGGGTGTGAGAATAGACTAAATTAAAAACGATTTTCCGGGGCCAAGGATTTAGCTCAGTGGTTCCGCCACCTGCCTTGCAAGTGCAAGGACCCTAGTTCAAGCCCCAGTACCAAACAAAAAAACAAAACAAAAAAAAAATATTTTTCTGTTAAGTCATCATAGTCCAAGTTAGAAGGAAGAGAAGAGAGAAAGGAAGGGAATAGGAAAAATTGTGAGAAAATATTTGAAATACATCAAAGGAGGATAATATGTGTTATAATCAATCTAAAAGACAGCGACCAACCAGGAGGATTAGGAATAACACTGATATAATCACCTTGTGTTCCTTCACATTGGCAGCCACACAAGTGAAACTTCAATTTGAATTTGGATCACAAGTTGTTACATTATTTTTCAAGGTCATATTATAATGCAACATTGAAAAGAAATATTGTATGTATACAGTTGCCTGTATTCACGAAGGTTGAAATTGCCAGATCCCTGGAATTGATTATATAAGTTTCAAACCTCAGCATGATTGGCAGAACCAATTCACTCAGCCAGCACACATTTGTCAAAGTTTCTTACTAATATGGTATGATTCTTTTTTTTTTTTAACCAATCCAATTAGCTTTTCTATAGTATCTTTGAAAGGAGGAAAAACTGTTAAGTTTCCTATTATATGAAATCCAATTAAGGAAAAAAGGGAAACTACGAGATCAACCAAAGAGGATGTGTAAATAAAACTTTGGTATTCTTTTTTTTGTTGGATTTTTTTGTTGTTTTTTTTTTTTTTGGTACCGGGGATTGAACTCGGGACCTTTCGCTTGCAAGGCAGGTGCTGGAACCACTGAGCTAAATTCCCGGCCCAACTTTGGTATTCTTTTATTGCCTCAGAATTGTATGGTCAGAGATAAAGCTACTAAAAACATACAGACCATGAGCCCAAGTTATAAACCAAGGAGCACAAACCTCCAGGGACTTGCTGGCCACCTTTGAAGGTGAAGAAAGTTTCAATCCTGAAGAAGAAAACAGTATATGAGTACAGTGTTTTTGAAGTATGCAAACACTATTATGATCTTTCATTTTATCTCCCAAAGCCATTACTAAATCATCTTACAACTGAAAACACTTTAGAATCAAATAAATGCCATAAAAGTAGACAAAGCATTAAATTCCTCATATATACAGAGCTCACTCAAAATTTTTTTTTTTTTTGGTACCGGGGATTGAACTTGGGTCTTGTGCTTGCGGGGCAGCCGGCAGAACCACTGAGCTAAATCCCCAGCCCCTCAAATTCATTTTTTTAAAAGGCAAGTGAATAACAAAAATAAAATCAACCAGTCCACTTTTGTAAAACATGAGGAACTTAAAGAAATCTACCATAAGAGACTGAAAAATACTGAAGCAGCTAGTATCAGAAATGCAAATTTTAAAAAGCATGGGAGTGCATATTTTTCTATAAAATCAGCAAATTCTTTAAAAAGTAGATAATAGTCATCATTGGCAGAGGTGTAGGGGAAAGGACAAGCTCTGACTTGTGCCCTGGTGTGATCCTTTTGGAGAAAACTTTGTCAAAGTCGAGTGAGTTCTTATTATCTTTGGCTTCTAGGAATTTATACTAAAGATGTGCTCTTGAAAATATACAAATACATATATGCATAAAGAACAGAGCTGAGAGATAGGGGCTTCTGGGCCGCTATTCCACCACTCCCAGCCCAGAGGAGGTGAGCTATGTGGGCACCAGGAGCACCACCCCCCACCATCAAAATGAGAAGACACGTACACAAGTCTCAAAACCAGACTTCCAGATCACCTACAGCAACCCCAAATGGAAAGGAGATGGAACACTCTGATACTCAATCACCTGGACCCACTGAACTGGCAACAAAAGGGGATCTGGAAAAAATGAAACCAGAAATAATTTCTCAGATAACAGCAGAGATTGTGCTCATAGTGCAAGACATGATTAATAAATCTAGAGAGGAGCTTAGGAACATGGTGGAGTC